CCCCCCCCCCCCCCCCCCTTCCATTGACGTGCTGGTTGGCGGGAGAAATTTAATTCCTGTTGTTTTTTTTTTCCTTCACATGTGGGATTGTTGTTGGGGTTGGTAGATAACAACTTGCGTAGTAGTTGTAGTAGTAGTTGGGCCTTGTTTATCTTTCATAAACTTTTTTTTATCCAGATGTAGATGTTAGGGTAGCAACATCAGTTTGCTATTTGGAATTGACGATCATCTATAAAATATCTTGCAGCCACTTGAAAACACTGTTAGCTTGGACTAGCCTGGTCAGTTGAGTATTTTCTTCACACTGTGTTCTACCAAAACCCTACATTTCGTGTTTCCTCTGTTATCATGAAGCTCGTTAGGTATGCCATTTTCTTTTATCTCCTTCAATTCTTCTTTGAAGTTTTTTTTCTTGATTTATTCATTGTTCACAACATTGAATGGTTGTTTTGATGTTAAGAAACTTTGTTTTGATGAATGGACAGGTTTTTAATGAAACTCAATAATGAGACTGTCTCAATCGAGCTTAAAAATGGAACTGTGGTCCATGGCACCATCACAGGTTTCCATCTCTCTTCCACTCGCAACATCCTCTGCATAAAACTTAGAATTAATCTGGCGAAACTAACTTAGATTTAATCTGGTGAGACCCTAGTTTTATGATTTTGCAGGCAAAGCATTTTAAAACTTCAAGTCCAATTCTATTTTCTTCATTATATTCAACTATTATCTGAAGTTGCATAGCATTTCGGTCCAAAGTATAATTGGAATTTGAACTACACTGTCAATTTTGAGTGGTTTATGAAGTAGCATAGCATTCTTAACATCCTTAAACTACATTGATCCCTATTTATATTGCTGTTAAATTTGATAATAATGATCTTTCACTAAAACCTATTGCATGCAATAGTAGGGTTACTATTACAAGTCTAAATTAGCTAGCAACCTCTTTTGATCTGAGTGGTAGAGTCTGAGAGTCTTGTTGAAGGAGGATTTTGACAGCAACTATGCTACTCTGTTGTTTCTTAGGTGAAAAATAAATTTCAATCATCAATAAAATCTAAATAAATCATTTGATACTAGGTGATAAATTAGGGAGGTCAACTACTTCCCTTACTTGATGGGATTACACAAATATTCTTTGACACTCCACCTCTAGCTAAGAAATAGATATCATTCATTCTGAGCTTGGATATTAACTCATGAAGTAGTAAGTTGTAAAGTTTTTTTGTCATCCATCTATCAGATGAAGCTGTGAGAGCACGTAACTTATGCGTACTATCCCTTTGGAGCACTTCAATGGGCGTTACTGGCCTCTCTCATAATCACTTCTCTTGGAGTACTTCCATAGGCGTCACTTGCCTCTCTCGTGCTCTAAGACGGGTGTCGCATGCCTCTTTCTTCTTGGAGCACTTCCACGGGCATCTCTTTCCTCTAGTGTTCTTTCCTCTTAGAGCACGTTCAGGAGTGTTGCTTGACTCTCTGGTGCTCTTTCCTCAGGGAGAACTTCCACGGGCATCACTTGCCTCTCTCATGCTCATATGCTTTCTCCTCTTGGAACACTTCTAAGGCAGTTGCTCGTCTCTCTCGTGCTCATTCCTGTTGGAGCACTTCCATAGGTTTTGTTTGTCTCTCTGTTGCTCACTCTTGTTGGGGCACTTCCATAGGTTGCTTGCCTATCTCGTGCTCTCTCCTGTTAGAGCACTTCCACGAGCGTCGCTCACCTCTCTCGTGCTCACTGCGATTATTGGCGGTACTGTCATTAATGTTGGCGGCTGATGCGACAGTGGAATACAGTGGCTGTTGGCGTGAGTGGGCAGTAGTGGACTTGATGTGATAGTGGTTTGAGGGCATTCTTGCGGTTTGGAAGCAAAAGCAGAAATTTGGACTTACGCCTTTGCAATGGTGACCTTGCGGGACTGTGATACTCGATTGTGTGAGTTACTGTGATATACTCGGTTGAAAGCAAGAAGTAGAGCAGCGAATGGTTGGTTACTGTAATGCACAGAAGGTCGGCAACTAAGAAGGCTCTGAATGAAACTTATACGATGGATTATCAGTGGTTATGAAGGTTTCACCGATTGAGTTAGTGGTTAGTTTTAGGCTCTGATACCATGTTGCAAGTCTAAATTAGCTAGTAACTTCCTTTGATTTGAGCAACAAAGATTGAGAGTCTTATTGTCGGAGGATTTTGATGGCAGTTACGCTTTGATACCATTTGCAAGTCTTAATTAGCTTGTTATTGTTTTCGAAGTAACATTAAATCTAAATAAATCCCAGGACACTAGGTGATAAATTGGGGAGGTTAACTACTCTTATTTAATGGGATTACACAAATATTCTTCAACACTCCCCCTCAAGCTGACAAATAGATATCATTCTTTCTCAGCTTAGACGCTAACTCATGAATTACACAATATCTCTTAAGGCTAATTCTTCGACAATTACTTTAAAGTTTAGTATGTGACTAGTGCACAACTCCCTGACCTATAGAGGCTTCTAGATTTTTCAAAGATATGTTTCACAGAGGAACATTGCAATTGTCTTTACCTCATCTCTCTCCCCCAACCTCTGCCCTTCCACATCGATCATGGATCACCTAGTCTCCATCAAGCTTTCTAGCAAAAGTAGAAAGGACTAACCCTCCCCATTCCTCCATGATTGAAAGAAGGCTCTAGACCATTGAGATTGACTATAGATAGGCTCTCGAGCACAATTGAGTTTACATAATTAACTACTCAGTGAGTTTGCACGTTCTGACTCTTGAGGCAATTAGAATATTATAATTTTAGTTGGTTACATCTTCAGTTGGAGAATTTTTTTTCACTTGAGACAACTAGCATCCGTCTATAAACAATATGTTTGCACAAATACTTCTGAAACATATGTTATTTAGATGACTTGCATAGAGAGGGAGACTAACACCAGATCGCACCGCTGCTGCTAAGTTTAGATATTGTAATATTCGATCACATTGCATGACCGTAAAGTAGATTCTGCACGTATTCTTTTTACTTTATGTTAAGTTCTGGTCAAGAATAGTTCTGACAGGATAATTTTCTTGTATTACTTAGGTGTGGATATTAGCATGAATACACATTTGAAGGCTGTGAAACTTACCCTAAAGGGGAAAAATCCCATTACCATGGATCATTTAAGTGTGAGGGGTAACAGCATCAGATATTATATTCTCCCTGACAGCTTGAATCTCGAGACTTTACTTGTTGAAGAGACAACCAGGGTCAAGCCCAAGAAACCAACTGCAGGTATGCGTTGTTCTTGTATTCTGGCTTGTACATCAATCCCTGCAACTGCTTATGTATTTGTTTTCCTCTTCTGCAACTGTAGGGAAGCCTTTGGGGCGGGGGCGTGGACGGGGGCGGGGGCGTGGTCGGGGGCGGGGGCGCTAGACTAGCTGCAGCTTCAATTTTTGTGCCATGTAGTCTTGCCATGTATTTCTGGAAGTTCATAAAATTAGTGAAGTGGAGAATGACAATTCACTGTTTTTTTTAATGATTGATGAAGCTTTGCTGTGTATTCTTGTGCCTGGTCCGCCCCTACTGTTATTTCTACTCGAGTCATTTTTGCCTTCTTTCTTTCACTTATTCGACAAGCACTCTTCGTAGAGTAGTAGGGGCTGTTTGGATCTCTTTCGCATTTCCCTTCCCTACCACTCGCCTATTGCCAGATTCAATGCCCAATCGTTCAGATCTGTAGGTGTTTGCTTAGATCCACACATCAGGTCTCGCAATTACAATCCCTTTCGCATTTTTTATTTTTGGATTAGATTGGTTGACTAAATGCATAACCGTCAGCCATAAAACTGATGGCTTCAAAGCCTCAGGATCTAGGGAAGTCTATTTGTTGGGGAATGCGAATATGCACAACCGACAACAAAGCTACCGCCAAGTATGACTTTTCCCTCGAATCATCTTCTATGCCGAAACCACAGAATAGATCCATTTCTTTTTCAAGACTAGTTAAGAAATCTACAATCTGGTGGGGATTTGAGAGTGATCACCCTTTTGAGATGTGATGTGATGACAAGTAGCAAAAGGATACAACTCTTTAGACAATCCTCATCTTCTTCATCATCAGATGCTAATAACTCTTTTGGAATAAGGAATAATTTCATCATAAAACTTGCATTTAATGGCGCAACCCCTAATCTCCACGTCTCATAAAGAGATGGATAACTGAACAACCTCTATCCTTTTAGATGACTAAACAACATTTTTTGGATCAAAATGTTTTATAAAGTATAGTATGATAAAAAAGGAATTCTCCCAAGAAAAAGAAAGAAAGAAAGAAAATGTTATAATAGATGCACTGTAATATCAAAACTTGATTATAAAATACTAATCTAAAAAACAATAACCAGTTGAATTGTATCAAACTAACTATTGGTGTGACTTCTTCTATTTAGCAAGCTTATATCATCTCATCATTTCAATAACTTCTATTTAGTAAGTCTATATCAACGGTTACAATTGGAATATCGTAAGTGAAATTAGATTATGTAAAGCTGAACACAATAATGTAGGCCAAAGCAAGCTTAGGAGCACCTTGTTGAGCACTCATTGTTGGAGTGGCTATGAACCGGTTGAATGAAATTGTTGCGTTGTATGGTTAACGTGTATTTTATGCTTGTGTTATTACATGTGTATGTGATAACTATATGACTATGCATGTTTTGTTTGATATATCATACTTCCATACATGCAAATCTTATTACGGTGTGTATGACTTTCACGGTATTGTGAATTGAAATACGTTATAAAGTATGTAAGAAATACAATGATTATGTATGATAGCATTGTATAGAATGTATGTCAGGATAACATGAAAGTATTGTATGCATCATTCTAAGAAGGTATAATTTGTATGCGCAGACTCATGCATGTTATATGTACATTGAACATGGATTACTTCCCCTCATATGTTAATATGGATGTATACATATATAGATGATTTAAGGTCCTATTTCTTTCCGTAGTTCAGCTGCGAGAGAGCGTGTAAGCCCATATGCAGACATAGAGTTTACGAAAGTAGGGTATTTGCCTAATGGGTCCACGTGCATTTGCGTGAGTCATGTATAGAGAAGTACTATGTATCCAAATTCACTTGTAAATAAAAATTGAACCTAAGTTTATACCTATGATTTTATTTTACGTCCCATAAATACAATTATTACTCGAGAAAGTTGATGCATGGTAAAAAAAAAAAAAACAAAAAACAAAAAAGGTTATACTAAAAAACTGATCAGTAATTATAATATGAAAAATCATGTGTTTTTTGGTTGTAGAGATTTATGAGCGAGTGAAATAAAAAATGTGATTAAAAAATGGGTCTGAAATTTAAAAATAATAAATTTGGGACAAACCCTTACCGTAAATGTAGACAAATGAGGAAAGGGACGATGTGTGGATTTGATTATTAAAAAAAGAAAGAGAAAAAGCATGGAAGAGAAGGGTATCGGATCCAATTTGTGTGCATAAATATCTTTTTTTTACAATCCGAACCGACGAGATAGGACAGTCAAATATGTCAGAGTTTGGGATCTTATGCATAAATGACATTAAACAGCTGTTGGCCATAAAGACTCTGCTGCACCCTGGCCCCACCTACAAAATCCAAGATCTTTTCTCTCTCGGATCTTATGCATATCATAACCACTAATTCAACTTGTTTAAACTCACCTGAGAATAACTCAAGAACATGAAATTCTTTAATTTTTCATTCTCTTATTTGTTCTGGTGGAGACAATAGGGAACGGTAGAAGTGTGAGTATGAAAGAAAGTTGAGATGATAGTTGTCAAAGAAGGAATGAAGATTCCATTCCAGATTAGCTCTGACTTAAGATGCACGAATTAATATGCCAGAACAGAGAAGGTCCAGTTAATAGATTTTAAGAGATTCCTGTTAATGAAATACTAAGATTGATAATTTTGAGGAGATCTTTTTGTTAATAAAGAAAAGGGAAGAGAAATTTGATATTAGATGTTGATGTGGCTTCACGAATATTATTGGGGGGAAGGGAAGGCAGGTGGTGTGTGGAGTGTCACTCCCACCGTCACCGCCGCACATGTGTTTGTCTTTGCCTTTTCTCATGAATTAAATAAATACCCCCTCCCCACAATCCCAGCTTTCTCCACGACTCACCTGGGTTGCTAACCACTGCAATGAGGCTCTCCCTCTCCCTCTCCCTCTCCCTCTCTCTGCTACTGCTCTCTCTCTCCCTTCCCCTGTGTTTCGCTGCCAATGTCACCTATGATCGCCGTTCCCTCATCATTGATGGCCACCGCAAGCTCCTCATCTCTGCTTCCATCCACTATCCTCGCAGTGTCCCTGGAGTGAGTATCTCACCATTTTTCCTTTTCTGCTCTCTTCTTCGTTTCTTCTTGCAATGCATTACCAAAATTAAGCTTCATTTTCACTCCTCTCTCTCAGATGTGGCCAAGTCTGATTCAAAACGCCAAGGAAGGTGGTGTCGATGTCATTGAGACTTATGTCTTCTGGAATGGCCATGAACTTTCCCCCGACAATGTAACCCAAATCACTCCCTCAACTCTTCATTGCTAACTCCTTCTCATTTTCTTCTCTCTTTCTTCTTTAGTATCATTTTGACGGCCGATTCGATCTCGTCAAGTTCGTCAAGATTGTTCAGCAGGCCGGATTGTATTTAATTTTGCGCATAGGCCCATTTGTAGCTGCCGAATGGAACTTTGGGTAACCTTCGACCTTTTCTTTTAGGTTACTTAGCCCCAACAAAATGCGTTTTATTCTGCTTCTGCTTCTACAATATTTTGGAGCATCGCATTCACATTTCACGGAGTTTGTTAGCTGCACCCTTTTATAGTTTAAATATTGCCTGGATTATTTACACATGGTTTTTTCTTTGCAGTGGAGTACCTGTTTGGCTGCATTACGTTCCTAACACCGTATTTCGAACTGATAATGCCAATTTCAAGGTAGGTAAACACGAGTTTCGAACTTCGATCCGTATTTGGATTTATCCAGACTCTTTTGACTATCTTCCATTTTTTCTGTCTTAACTTGCTTTATTTAATTGTCTCTATTATCATTGTGGCTCCTTGTGGCTATGCGGGAGTTCAGTATTACATGCAGAAGTTCACTACATACATAGTGAACCTAATGAAACAGGAGAAATTTTTTGCTTCACAAGGGGGTCCCATCATCTTGTCTCAGGCAAGTATTTTATGGTCATTCTAGTGGTGGATTGATCAGATTTTCGATTCCTTTTCCACATTTTTTTTAAAACTTATCTGCAACCAAGTGCTTTTTGCTAGAAAGTGAAGACTTCATTAAAATTGAAAGGGTTTACAAGTGTTATGTAGAAGCCTTTAGCTAAAAGGCATTGCCATTGCGTGCTGAATTTTTATATGTTTCTCGTGTAGATAGAAAATGAGTATGGGGATATAGAAAGAGTTTATGGGGAAGGAGGTAAGCCATATGCTATGTGGGCTGCTCAAATGGCTGTTTCTCAGAATATAGGCGTTCCATGGATAATGTGTCAGCAATATGATGCTCCTGATCCTGTGGTGAGAATCCCATTCAATTACAACTCCTTTCTTCTATTTAATTATTGGCTCATATTTCCCGAGGGATGGAAACAAAAACCTGAAAGGAATTATTAGGTAATATTCAGTTAATTTTGGACAAATGTTGATTTTGATTTTGATTTCATTCTTTTGTTTGAGAAGCTTCCCTTCCAGAATTTGGTGGAAACCACCTTTGAATTTTGTGTTTGATCAAAGCTGAAACTGAAATCTAAATGTCTTCTATTAATCATTTCGTAGCATTACTTGTGAATTCAGTCGATATAAGTTCAGAATTAATTAAGTATTGTACTTGATTCATTTCTGGCTAGCAATTCCGTAAATACTCACTTGATTACGTACAAAGCGTAAGTGATTAATTTCCACATTCGAAAAGCTAAAATCAATAAGCTCAACCATCCATTTTTGAGCTTCATAGCTTTTTCATCGTCCCATTCCTTAATATTTCAGGTTTAATGCACGGGGTTTCATATTATCTGTGTTTTCTTTTTTTTTTTTTGTTAACAGTTATATGCTTACTTTTTATTAAGCCATGGTTGTCACATCCCAAGAGTTCCAGTTACGTGTTTTGTACATTAGCATAAGCATATACTATTTGTGAGGAATTGTATGACATAAATATCTTGTTTGGTTGCATGTGCACATTATTCAGCTTCATATGATTGGAATGTAGTAGGTACTCCCTTTCTACTGTTTTCACTTTTTATAATAAGGTTTTTCCTGATTTTGAGGTTGCCACCATCCAAAGCTCTAAACTATTCCTGTATCATAATAAATACTTTTTCTTCTCCCTTTCAGATTAATACTTGCAATTCATTCTACTGTGACCAATTCACACCTAATTCTCCAAACAAGCCCAAGATGTGGACTGAGAATTGGCCTGGATGGTAATATTACTTTTGTCACTTGATCATTTAGTTGTATTTATTCTTGACTAAGCATTTTGTTTTATCATAT